CCTGTGAAGACTAATATCCAAATTACTTCTATAGCCACGTGTTTCTCATCATTATTAAGCAAACATCAAACAGCAGAACAAATATCACAGTAGAACTGCTTTCTGTGAAGATGAAGTTGGACTTTTGGCCTCTGAGATCTCACAGTTGAGATTCAGGCCTGATGCTAAGGGTCTAACCAGGTGCAGCAAAATCCTTCCTGATGTTGAAATAAAGATGATGGAGCACATTCTCCAATTTATTTTTGAAATCTTTGTTTAGCTGTGAGCATCAGGAGTGACTTTTGGTGATTTGGATGGCTTGTGACTGTGAACAGTTCTCCCAGTACTGTATTTTGTGGCTTATTTTCCTGTTGCTGTCATGGGTGAAGTACATAATTGTGTCAGCTAATTTTGGAAATAGTGTTCACTTCAGTATTTTTAAAAGCAAGTATTCACTGTCTTTTTCCACCCACGAGATAAACTTTCCATTTTTAAAGTAAAATAGAAAATAACCATCTTGGTGTTGTATGTTTGCTTTCTGTCAGTCACTTGGATGTTGTATCTCAGCTTTTAGGTCAAAACAGGGTTTCTTTTTATCTGCAGACACTGTTGGCACATCTATAAATGTGCCAAAAACGTAGTTTTTAAATGTGCACTGCCTGTTATTGGACAATAATTCAGGGAGCTGTCACCAGTAAGCTCAAATGTAGTTCCTCTCTCCTGGAGGGATGCTTTTTTTTTGGCCTTTAAATCTCTTTTCTTACTTGAATCATGACTTTTCTTTTTTCAAGTTCATCTCCTTCTACAGAGTTTATCTAAAATACTGTAAAAATAAAGCTCTTTGATCTGAAATTTCTACTTCTTGTGTTTCCCATGGTTCTCTGAGTTTTCACTGTCTGGATTAGGATTAGCAATGTAGCCCTGTTCTGTCACACTACCTCTGCCCCAGCTGCAGAGCTGGAAGCTTTAACATTCCTTTTCCTGCTAGAATATTCTCCCTGGCTGGTGGCTGCGTGTCCATCCTAGCTGCTCCTGCCTTCTACATGTGTGATGAACACAAAGCTTACCTCTCACTTCCCTCTGGCTACCACTCCTCTCTCTTTCCTCAGCCTTCTGGAACTCACCTGAATTTCTGGTGGTTCTGTGGTCAAGGAGAACAGGGTGGTGGTGGTGGCTGCTCTTCCTCTCTTGATGCTGGAAGAAGTAGCTGCAGTTTTTACTCATCTGGTCTCTCTCCCTGCTTAGTCATCAGCTCTTGAGACAGTTCTTTACTAGTGCTGCAGGCTACCCACTGAAAAAGTGAAGTCAAGCCACAAGTACTTGTGTCAGTTCCATCTGCTGCCTAAAGAGGTTGAAATGTCTGCTCTGAACTTGACCAAGTGCTGTTTTCAGGCTGCTGCTGGTTTGCCACAGGGTGACACTATGGGAAATACACTGCTCTGTGTGACATGGCAGAGCTTGGCCTCAAAAAGGGAGTGGGAAAAAATTCCCCCAAATCCCCTAAAACATGAATTCTGCCAAAGTTTCTGGGTTTCAGGGTAACCACAGGAGGCTTCTATGCTTTGGAGACTCTTGAGAACCTGAAAGCAGACTTCAAAATCTATTTTTTTTTAAAAGCTTTGGAGACAACATTGTAGGTGTGAACTGGCTACATAACAAAAGAGGTGTTAGTCAGCAGGCTTCAGAAGAATGAGTCCTGTGTACAGATACTGCAGCTGAAGAGAGCACAGGAGAAAGCTGCCCTTAAATAGAGTTAAAAAGCTTTGTTGCATTTTTGGCAAGCGATGGGAATTAATAGCTCTGAACTGTCAATAGGAAGTATTTTATCCTTATTACCCACTAAATGTCAGAAGTGGTGCAGTCATATTTATTTATCTATTTGGATTTGGTTGGAAGGCCAACTTTCAATTAAATGGAAGATAGATGATCATCAAACATCCTACAGCATATGTGGAAGGCAGCTGCATGGAATCCAGGAGGCAGATCAGTCCAAACGAGAGACTGTGCCAAGCAGAATTAATTGAGAAACCTGAGTAAATGATCTCTGGCTAATTTGACGTGTTGTCATTAGAGGAGCTAAGTGATACATCACAGTGACAATGTTTTTCTCAAACAGAGAGGGGGAAGTGTCCATCCAGGGAGTTCTCCAGATGGAGAAATGGGGGAGAACGTTTGCTTGTCTTCCCTTAAATATTTGTTCAGAGATATTTGCAGCCTTTGGTTGAATGGTAGCAAGGGAAGGGTTTGGTTTGGGGAACCAGAAGGGCTATCTGGAGATGAGCAAAAGATATTTAAGCTCAATTAGCATGAGATGAGCCTGTAGGATCCTAAAAGTACTTGTGGAACCATCAACTGGTTGTTACTCCAAAGCTACAGCTGGGTAAAACTTGGCTGTCCACAATATGTATGGTCAGCTAAGGATGGGAAGGGCAGAGTCTATAGAATCCTCTTCCAGCTCCAGTGTGTTTTCTGTGGATAGTGAAATTAAAGAAGGAAGTTTTGCCTCAATAACACTAAAAATATCTGTAGGATGAATTAATCTGTATCGAATCTGAGTCGCATTCAAAATGAGTGGTGGAAATAGACTTGATTGCATGGGAAGTTAGTTGGCACTTAAAACACATTCCAGTTGTCTGCTAAATATATTACAAGGCCTGGAGAATGTTCTTTTGCTGTTTTTCTGTTAAAATGTGTCTCTAGCAGTTCGTAGTAGACGTTATGTTAATAAATGGTGTGACAATGCAGAAGCCCTCCTCACAGTATTTCAGCTTCTCTGAAGTCCTTGAATGGAGAAGGGAATATAAACATCTGTTGGAGGGTTTTTTTCCTCCCTTTGTTTGTGTTTTTTTAACAGAAGGTGTTTAAGGAAGCTATTCAAGGGAGAATTTCTGCAGTTGATGTGTGTTCTGGAAACTTTCTGACCCTTCTTGGTCCATTTCTTTTGAGATGTGGGCACAAATTGCTCTCTGCTACTCCCTCTCGCCATCAAAGCCAGGGTTCAACCCAGAGCCTCTTGTGTTCTGAACTTTTCTGTGTTTCCTCAGCTTTATTCCTTGGGAAATAAAGGGAAACTTCAAGCTAGTCTCTGGTCCTTCACATCAAATTCAGCCTGCTTCAGCCTCTCATCTGTATCATCCTAAAATCTCATCTCTCATCCTAAAATACTAAACCACAGTGGAGTGCTGAGCACAGGGGTCACTGGAGTGTTTTATTTCAGGGTTCTGGGCTCTGTGCTTGCTCTCCACTGCCTGCAGACTCAGATTCAGTAACGTGAAGCCAATGGATCAAGACTGGAGAACTTGCTCTTCTAAAAGCCCTTTAAAATGCCCTCCAGGCCTTGCTGGCTGGAGCAGCAAATGAAAAACGGCTTTTCTGGACAGAGTTCACAACTTTTAACCATAATTAGACTGTTTAATTCTATTAATGTGGCAAATAATTGATTTCTCTTCAAACACAAACCTTGTGATATTCCAGTAGGCATCGTACCAGCAAATCCTAAGGAAGGGAAGCTCTTGTAAGACCAGATTATCATAATCAGATGAGAGCCACAGATTTCATGGTGTAATTACCAGTAGCACTTGCAGGACTTTCTGTGTAAGAGGGTCACAAGAACATTAAAATCAGGACCTATTTTAGCTGAATATTAAATCAGCTCAGGATGGTCCTTCTGTGCTTCCAGCCTTACAGAAATCTGCTCTGCCAGTCAGTGGCTGCCTTTTAAATTTCCTCTGCAAACCTGTGGTCAGGAAATGCAACACCAGGCTGAAGGAGAAAGCAAACAGCAAAATGGCATGTACTCTTTCAAGGAGACATTTCCATGGATCCTTTCTTTATAATCCAGCTGAGGAGAGATCTGTTCCTTCATCTTGATTTCCTCTCTGGTTTTTTTTTTAATAGTGAATAAGGTATTAAGTGGGAAAAAATATTTTGTTTGGATTCAGTGATATTGAAATATTTCTGTTTTGATGCTTTCCAGCATCACCTCCAAGAACTGATGTTTGGGAAGGGGATTCTTAGGGTGGTGTTTTGACTGAGGCTAATTATCATTCTCCTTCATTTTCAGAAAATTGATGCCCAGGCCATTGAAGAATTCTATGGGTTAACATCAGACATTTCCAAAAACTCAGAATCTGGATATATCCTCTTCTACCAGTCCAGAGACTAAGACAAAAAGATACACGTATACAAATTTAAAATAAAGGGATCAAGAAATGTCCAAATGGAACATATTGTTGAGAGCAGAAGCAGCTCCTCGTGGTTGCTGTAGGACCAGGCCAGCCCCAGCAGGGCTGGTGAAGCTTCTCTCTGCCACTTCATGGAGGATTAGTGCTGACTGCCCTAAGGAGAGGAGCTTTCCTTCCAGTTTTCTTTCTGGGCTTTTGGGTTTTTTTTTAACGTGCTATCTTCCAAAATCTGCATTACCTCTACTTGAAACCTGGCTGCTTATTTTATTCATGGACTGAAGAAGAGATTTAAAAGTAGCATTGTAGAATTTTTTACCACACAACGTTGGCCTGAGGCTGTACCTTGGTTTCTACCATCGTCGTTTTTCTGTATTTTAGCAGAATGATTTCAATATTCAGTGTCAGCTGAAGGCATATTTTAGGATATGAACAGCAGCTGGTTGCTGGATATTTTTGGTGACTCAGACTTGAGAAGCAGTACAAAGCTAAGACATATTGGAAATGTCAAGTCTGTAATTTTTATGAAAAAAAGAAACAAAACAGACAAAAACCCCTCTCTCTGCAGCATTGTGAAACTGCCCCTTCTGCATTACCTTGGGTGCAGATAACACTAACAGCACTGCTTCTTTTTATATGTGTTTGTTCCTCTTCTGAAGGTCTAGAACTTTATCCACGTTCAGGCAACTGTGTTTTTTTTCTTTCAAAGCAGAATTTTTGCCTCGAAGCCACACTGCTGCAGCTTGAAGGGGGGGAGCAGGGCAGCTGCAGCTTGAAGGGGGGGAGCAGGGCAGCAGTTCCCTTCTGAAGAATATCTCTGGCAACCAGTTGCAGTAGAAAGTGTGAAGTTGCAGCATTCTGGGAGCGACTGCATAAACCAAAAGTGCCCTCATTGAACCAGGATCTGTTCTGCATTTCCTTCACCAGGCAGCCAGCTGATGCAGCGAGTGGTTGGGATCTATGCTAATACACAGAAACAGCACTAATTGGGAAGGGTTAACGAACAGAAGTGCTACTTATCTAACTAATCCACTCATTCTTAGCCTTCAAGATAAGGAAGGAAAAATAAGAAGGAAAGGTAGGAAGGCAAACCCACCCACCCACCCAGATACTGCCTTGCTGAGCGTTCCTCCTCGCCTGCCCTATCGACCTGGGAGTCGTAACACCCCCTGACAATGCTTCTGATTGTTTTACCTCCATAGGCCTTGCTTACCAGGGGAAATTTAGTCTTTTGAAGACTGAAATTAAGTAATGATCCGTTCCATGTGTGTACGTGTTACAATCTCAAGGATAACTAGCAAGAGAAGAGTGAGGGAGTTTGTCAGAAAGCTCAGAAAATCCTCTGTCATTTTCCTGTTGAAGTCCTGTTGCTGTGCCAAAGTTTGTCCCAGCTGGCTCTGAGTGGAAACAAGTCTTTCCCTGTCTTCATCTCCATGGGTGACAGGAGAGCTGTCCTCTGTGTGGCTGTTCCCAGCACAGCCCTTCATGGTGTGTACCAGTGATTGTTGTTCTCGAGGACGTTTCACTTATGCAATTCTGTGGCTCCTACAGGATTTTAAACATTTTACCAAAATCTTGTCCTCAGGAAAAACAGCGTTTCACAAACTGTTCCTTGTTGGTGGCTGTAGGTGTCTGTTTCTTCTTGTCATGGCCAGAAACACCACGTTAGCAATTAACTCCTGTCTTCAACATGCAAATTAATCATTACCAGTGTATTCCAACTTGGGTGCAGGTTCCGTTCTCCCAGCACATCTCTTCCAGAAGATAAACCACAGCCATTGGGGTTTTTTAATTATTTTTTATTCTACAGAGTACTGTCATTTGAAGAGACCTAATCAACAGCAGCAAAACCTTCTTGTCCTCTTGTTCCTATTGTGTGGAAATTGTTCCTGGCTAAGAGTCTTCTCCCCTCGTTCCCACACAAGCTGTGAGTCCTCTCCTGGTGTCGCTACCAGCAGACTGTCACCACCAAGTCTTGCAAAAAAAAAATGACAAAAAAAGAGCACTGAATTAAAAATAATCTAAACCATAAATAGGAGAATTAATGTAGTACACTAGACATGTATTTTGTATATCTGGTGAGACATTTTTACAAAGAAAATACCTGACTGAGAGATAATATTGAAAGATATATACTATAGATTAAAAACTGTTAAAAGTGCACTTTTGCTACAGATTTATAAGGAGACTAAAAGGAATTAAATTGGAAGAGAAGGGTGTGATGTTGCTTCTGTATAATAAATGATGACCCCACCTGTCTCCAATAAAGGTCGTGTATGATCAAAAGCACCAAAACAGCCCAAATGCTTCTCCTTGAACTTCACTCTGAGGCAGAAACAAAAGCCCTTGGTCCTCTGCTTCTCCCTCCACGCTGGCTGAGGGATTCTGACCCCACATCTGTGAGCCATACATGGTTTAAACCAAGAGAAATGAACAGTCTGGTGCCATGGATTGTAATTGATGTGCTGGTAAACCAAGGAGAGGTTACCCAGGGCCTTTTCCCCCCACACCCCTCTCACCTCTGGTGTCCCTTCATCCCTTTGTGGTCCCCTCCTCCTCTTCCCCGTGGTTTCCTTTCCCCTCCTCCCTCTCTCTCCCCTTGCTGTTGGACTCCCTAAGACTTTGTTGCAAATATTATCTGACTGATCTGGAACAGAGACATGGAAAAGCAAAAATAGTAGCATATCCTTGGAGCTCTTTGGGTTCATTGTGGGACAGGGCTTCATTTCTCTGTGCTTCACTGGAGCTCCCTTTGATGTGGGGCAAATCTGATCAAAGGCTGCTCCCCTGAGCAGGAGATCACGGGACTAGGTCAGGACAGGATAGAAGGAGGCAAACGAGACTGGGAAACAGCAGCTGCTCTGCCAAAACACATTTTAAACCCAAAATGCTGCCTGGTCCTTGCCCTGCTGGGGCCCACTTCAGCCATGAATACGTGGAGCTAATTTTAACTCTGCCAAATGTGAGTGTGACTTTCAGTCTCTTTGGGAAGAGC